CTCTCATGACTGTGGGGATGCTACAACAGTCATAAGTGTGAAAAATGTCCATAAGTCACTTTTTTCAGTGCCATTGTAACTTTGAATGTTCACTCCACACAAGCAAAGTACCAACAAAGGAGGGGAAAAAAAACTCCAGAGAAATTCCTGAGACAGGAAGTCTAGTCCTGCCAAGAATGTAATAAGGGTTAGCGGAGAAGCAGTTTCTGTAAGCAACACCAGAATGTTTCCTTCCTGCCTTCCTTACAGGATTAGGCCAGTAATTTCTTCTAACAACCAGTTCTCCAAATTGCTTAGAATGTTAACAACCGGTTCTAGCAAATAGGTACGAACTGGTAGAATCCCACCCCTGAGGAAAATTATTTTGAATATAAAGAAGGGAAATATACTGGAAGTTGGTTTTTGTGGTGGATGAGGATTAACTATACAGGCAAAAATCACCTATTCTGACCATCCAGGATTGGTTGCTGGTAGGTACTGGTCATGAGGCAATCTGACAGGGCAGACAAATGCTAAGTTAATTTCACACATAAATGTCACACTCCTCTAGGAAATCATACAAATGCTGGGAAACCAATGGCAATTCACTACATTTACTCATGGCTCAATTGCAAAATGTGATGTTATATAAGTAATATATTCAGCTAGGAAATGATGTGGTGCGGTGGACTTGTGTTGGGTTTGATTCTCAGCTGCATGATTGTTATTTATACTTCCCATTCACTGAATAATAAAATTTCAGTGACAAATTCAGTTTCCACTTCAAAGGACAGTTAAGAAAATTTCTCTATAAAGAACATTAATTTTACTTTTAATGTTAACTACTCCCTTAGGACTGTGTTTATCTCCCGCATCTGAATCTCCACTTCCCTCCCACCCCCAGGCCTTACTAAAGCCAGAATATCCATTAACTTTTATCAGGATTTTTCTGTATAATCACTTCATTCCATTGGTCCCAGTTGCAATGATTGCTTCAAAATGTATTCTGGTTCTCTTGATCCAAAAATCATTCGGAATGCTGAAAGCTGGAAACTGCACTTTTCCTGGGCAGCCTGTAATAAAGGATGTTCTAACACAGCTCTAATTTTATTTTCCACATTCTGAATGTCTATTTCTACCTATGTCAGCAAATACAGATATCCCCGCTCCCCCTTGCTCAACCCCAAATTAAATGACTGTGGCAGTGAGAGATCTCACATTAAATGCATTGAAACCTGTTTCAGAGATTCCACTTCTGAAATGGGGAATGCGTTAAACAATCTCCCTAGGATCTAAGATCACTTCAGCTGAGAGTTTCAAACTTGATTTAATAGTTTGCCTTATTCATCAAGCTACCTTATAAAGTCCTTTGGGATTAGCTTCAATTTGGTTTCTGCCTTTATAAAATATTTTATTGTTGTTTAGTCTGTGTTTCTGCTTAAAAATAACCACAGGCTTTAGCGAACTAAAGATGTTGGCAAGTCTAATAAGGAACAAAGATGATTCCAAGATGATGGAAACTCAGCTTTTTCTTCCATCAGATACATGTAACAAAAAAGAGGTGGAGCTTTTATCTCACACCTGGACCTGCCATCTTGAGTTTGTTATGTGTTTGTTTGACATCTCTTCTTCTCATGGATAATTTTGTTTTAGACACAAATTTGCAAGCAGCTTAGCACCATCTTCTAGAACACAATTTTTAGACTACCGTAATCTTTGCAGACAAATATGAACACATAATAGTTGCTGGTCAGCAATTAAAGTTGCTGGTCTTTAATTAAAGGAGACCAAAATGGGAAGTGGAATCTGTAAGTTGCTTTCAGAGTATGCCCCCAATGTTAAAACCATTTCTCTTGACCTATCAGGATAATTGGCTTATAAAAAACATGTTTTGCAACATTTCAGTCAGTAGTTGTTTTCAATTATCCTTCAAACACTTCCATTTTTATAGCAAAAGATCAATGGCAGCCTGAAATATACTGTGTGAAAAATGGAAAAAGTGTGATAACTTCTGCCTACCGTATCTTTTTGCCTACCGTATCTGTATTAAAGTGAATTTAGTTCCAATACATAGGAATTAGATCTACAGAATATATTTCCAATACATCTGTCAATTAGATCTACAGAATCTAAGATCTATATTACCAGTTAATGAATATTTCAGCTTTAACCACAACAGCACAAGAGCACACAACAGATATAAACTAAATGTAAACCACTCCAAACTTGATTGCAGGAAGTACAATTTCAGCAACAGAGTGGTCAATGTCTGGAACTCACTACCTGATTCTGTTGTCACCTGCTCAAACCCCCAATCCTTTACCCTCAAACTAACCTCTATTGACCTTACCCCATTCCTAAGAGGTCTGTAAAGGAGTGTGCATAAGCGCACAATCATGCCTACTGTCCCTGCCCTATTGTCCCCAATTATTAGTTCCTATTTCTTGTATTTAAACATGTTTATTCTTGTTTCTGTTATATTGTAAGCTTTTGACAAATAAAATAAATAAATAAATAATAAATAAATAATAAATAAATGTATAGCTAGACATTCTCTATAGTTCTACTCCATGATTCTATTATACATAGGTCTGTCCTGTTTTCAGGTGTATGTTCCATTATTATAATTCAAAGACTATAAGATATGCTAGGCAGAAGTTATCCACGTGTTCTCATTTTATTATACAGTATATTTCTGGCTGTCATTTTCATTGGCCTTTTGCTATAAAATGGATAGAAGTGTTTGAAGGATGACTTCCTATACACTTGCCTGATTAGTATAGATGGAAAGCCATATTTTCTTCCAGGCAACTCTGACTGGCTGTATTGAGGAATAGTTTGTACCATGTGCTTCTAATCACATGGCTCTCCTAGATCTAAATATATTCCATTTTCATCTGTCTATTGTTTAAAGACTCTGATCATATGGAAGTTGTCTGAAGTAATGCCAAAACGTCAGCTTAGGTAGAATTCCCATATTTTATTAATGACATAGTCACAACAATTAGAGATCATTTTACTCAATTAAACTTTTTTTTTACTTCTAGGAAACTATTTTTTCTTGTAAAACCTTTTAACACAGAACAGTTGATCCATCCAAACTCCATCAGTTAGTTATTATTAGAATTAAAGCTTGGTGCAGGGAGCCAGAAGTGTAAAATCCACCTTTGAAAAGTTGGCAGCTTCCTCAGAATATCTGCAAGAAATAATTATAGATAATGTAGAAATTGTATCTACTACACACACAAGGAAAGAAGTTTATCCATTCCCTCCCTCCCTTTTCCTCCAACTGAAAAGAATTTTATTGCATGTTAGAATATAGAACACATTTTGTAGTGAGTTTGATCCAGGGGTTTCATTGATTTCTGTGGGTACTCTGGCACACATTAAAAATGAAATTCTGTTGCCTGCTCTCCAAAGTGTACACCCATATACACAACACCCACATAGATAGCTGAATTGATATCAAGCTTTGCTTTTATTCTGTTTAACAGATCAAATACATCACATTTCTTAGTTTTTGACATCTCTAATAGCTTTCTTAAAGCTATATGGATGCTTTTCAGATACTTTTAAAAATTCTACCATCTGTCTTAGCAACTTATTCAGTTTGGATATTTTTTAAATCTATATTTTAAATCAAAACCTATCCCAGAGGTTACAAGAGATGTTCAGTATAACTAGTGTGGGCATTTTTGTTGGATAGTTTTGTGGAATAAATCTTAAAGTTGGACTTCAGGTTTGTTTACTTGAACACTGAACTACTAAATTTAATTTCTTGATCCATTTCTTCTAGTATTCATTGTGATCTCTTGTCATATTTGTACCATGTTTCTCTCTTGAAAACAGCAAGTCCCGGAGCAACAGCATTTACAGCAACTGCAAGTGTATCAGGCTCAGACAACTACAATTGGCATGGTGCATGTAGATGAGCACCAACCTAATGCCAACACACAGACTTCCCTGACAACTTGTGTATTATCTCACCCAATTGTGGACCAGTCTATTCAACAAATCTCCATGACAGGTAACAGTCCCTAAAGATTCTCATAATAGGCAGAATAAATGTACAGTTCATATAGGATCAACTGATTTAAATACCACAAATGCCTTTTTTACTCATTCTTTTTTACCCTCAATCCTATTCATTAGTGCAGCTGATAATGGATAATATTCACACATTCATAAATTCATACTGCTAAGAATCTCAGACAGCCAAAAAACAGGTGCATTTTGGATGTCCTCCAGCTTTTTATTTCAGCCTTTTATTTTTATTTCTGTCTAGCCCAAGTTGTATTTTGTATTTTTCTCATCCCTCACCCTGTTGACACCATCACCATGTTGAGGTGAAAGCCTTAACAAAAATCATGACTACGATATATATTTCTGAGATATGCCATTAGAAATGTCACAATGTGTGCCAAAAGTGTTATAGTAAACACATTCAAAATTATGTGATCAGTTTCTGAAACTTTATGTTTCCTTTCATCAAATGAATGACATGTGTCAATTACATTGCATATAAAGGTACAGTATTTGCTGAGCACAGAATGGAGTCCTTTGGTTGCAAGTATTGAATTTTTCTTTGAGGATTATAGTTCTCTTCAGCTTTATATTAGGAAATATAAATACTCCAACGGCTCTTAAGACAGTCAATAAATATTAGCTCTGGTGTAAAAATTCAAATTGAGATTAGAGTCATAGAACGTAATTTCCAAAATAAGCTGATTGAACCACTAGATTGTATCCCAAACTGCTAAGTTGTTTTGGAAGGTTGAATTTCTGTGCATGAGCAAAAATGGTTTATTCAAATATATTGGGAAGACAGAAGTTGACAAAATTTCAGAAATGAAGTAGAAATTCAGATTAAATTGAATTATAATTTTAAACTGGACTTGTTTAAATTGAAATATTTACATTGTATATTTACACAATCATTTTATTTGTTTAACTGTCATAGGATGCATACTATTAGAATTAGGGCTATGTTACAGAATATAATCTGACCATTTTCTGTCAGTGTTGATTTTTTTCATTTCTTTAAATGGCAATTGAAAATCTGAGAGAAGAAATGTGGCATCATTCAGCTCTACCATGTATCATTATTATAAATATAAATAAAAATTGTCACCAACTATAATTCTTAAAGATAATGAAAATATATATTAAAATAAATGTGTCTTTCAACCCAGAGACTAATTTTTACTCTGACCCACATAGAATCACTTTTACAATATGCATCTCAACATATAGATCAAAATCTGATTGATTTTTTTTTTCAGAATGAACTAATTACAATCTTGGCCTTTCTGATTTCAGAGGGGAATTTTGCCATTGGCTTGAAAAGAGACAACATTCCAACCAGAATCATTATCTTCTACTAACATTCCATAGCAGCAAGCAATTGAAAACAGTTGTCTCTTCCCTCACTGCTTTTTTTTCGTAGTTTGGGGTGTGTATAGTATTGGCTGGATTGTGTTAGGGAATCCTAAGTTCTATTTTTAGTAGGAAGCTCTGTTGCTGTGTTGTGGTACGGTAGCACACGTGCTGTGTGACCCACAGCTGCAAAAGTGAATTATTTGCACATCCTAAATCAATTTAGATGTTTGAAGTATATGAAAAAAAGACATTCAGATTTCATTTTAGACTAAGGAATGCTCTTCAACAGACATACAGTTTGGAATGTGAAAACATTTTACTACTTAAAAGTTTGTATGGAATGTTTCTGACAGATTTTGAGTTTTGAATTATTCGTGCATTCGTTCAAAAGTTGCAAACTATACAAATTTCATTTTAGAATTAGACCCATTAAACTTCTCTTGGATTCAGTTGAAGTTGCATTCAGAGTAACATGAGCAAATATAATGTTTTGATAATTTGTTTTAAGTCTTTAAATTAATAAACCCATTAGCATAGTTAAGAAAAGAGGGGAAATGATTTTAAAAGTGGCCCAAGACTTTGATTAAAACTTGTAGCTGGTGCTAACTTTGGGCAGTTATCAGAATCCAAGGATTTGGCAAAGTACCTCCCCAGATTCCTGCACTTCTAATGAGTATCAGGTGCATTGCAGCTATCATGTCCTTTTACTGCAAGTCTGTGAATAGTGCCAGGTTAATGTTACTCTGGGACATCAGGATAAATAAATGGTGTTTCAAGCCTTGTTACTGCAAGAAAGTCCAGGTGGATACTCTGTCATAAAAGAGCAACCACCAAAGGGCCCCCATCGTTCACAGAGCACCCATAGAATTGAAGCCAGCATTGGATTATTGTTGAAAATGAAATATTGGGAAATATTTAAAGACTACCTCAAGACAAGTTTGACTCTGATGAAATGCAATTTTCTTTGAAACAACAACAAAACAGTTTGCCGTGTTATTGCTGTTTGCCAGTTAGGTCTCCACCTCTGGAATTTCCAGGTCTCCATTCAAGCATTAATAGGATCTGACCATGCTTAGATTTCTTTCAAGATCAGTCAAAGTACCGCCACCTGCTGTGGCTCCAAATATTTAAACTGCTCAATGAAAATGGAGAAGTTGGCACTGAAAAAAAGCTTATTAATCCAGCCAAAATGCTATCATTAACAAAGCATTTCTACTTTTGCCAGGTGAAACTTATATTTCCCATATGTTACTAGCCCTTGGGGTATGATTCTGTTGTGTCAAGGAAAAAGGTTATTCTGAAGTCCTTGTTTAGTTACTAATATGTTTAGTGACCATTCAGAGTTATGGCAGTAATGAAAAAGTAACTTTGTGACTGGTCCTCACTTTTACGAACTTCACAGATATGTAAAACAAAGGAAAATCAGGTTATAAATTAAGTTGTGGTTTCACTTAATGCAACTTCATGTAACTCATTGCTGATCCCAATGCCTAAATTAAGGTACTTGTAATTTCATTCACTTTCTTTGCCTATATATTGCATGAACCTATATTTAGCACTATAGTGTAACTGTCGAATATACATTGTAAGTGAGGAAAGTACACTTATCCATAAAAAGACAACCCCATCTCTACAAAATAGTCTTGGTGCAGTTTGGCATCTTCTGATCATCCCAATCACATATCCAATTCTATTTCAATGAGCATCCTAGTTGTTGTACTTTCCTTACCAGAGTAAAATTGTTGGTAAGTTGATCCTATTACGTTTATTTTGCAGGTGTTGCATATGACACACTAATGTTGAAGCACCAGTGTTTGTGCGGCAATTATACCAATCACCCTGAGCATGCTGGAAGAATACAAAGCATTTGGTCAAGGCTGCAAGAATGTGGGCTGTTAAACAAATGTGAGGTAATGTCTATACAACTATATTAAATACGAAAATTTTAATGTGATTTCTGTTCCTATGTAAGTACCAGCTGGATGACCTCAGGAATATTCCTTTCACATCAGGATAAATTATGCTATAGAATCTAAACTATGCATCATATCTCATAAAGAGTTTTGAGAGTTTATTATTTTTAATGACCACATGGATATAATCCCTCAAGATGTCAACCACAATTGGACGATCAAAATCCTTCCTCCTTTTTATATGTAGAAATACAAATTACAAATAAGTACTTTTACAAAGAGAAATATTGATAGTTCAGGTTACCTTTCATAAGCAGATTAAATTGTTTAGGTGGGGTAGGACAATAGGTGGGGTAGGACAAAAAGCTGGACACGGCATGGGCGAAATCTAAATTTCACTTTTTTACGCTTTGAATTTTATTAAAGTAACTATATATAGTTAATATGATTTCTTGGAGTGCATTTAATAATTTTCTTCTTTAGTCACAACCAAGTTCTAGGCTTTTTGAGTCTACAAGAAATTTTGAGATTTCAAATGTGGTACCTGAGTTTAAACAATCCCAAAGTGAAACCCAAGCACTTCAGACCACATGGATGCATTAACATCCAAAGAACTTTATTATGCCTTAAAATAAGCAACTCTGTGGGTCAATACAAAGGAGTATTTGTGCAGCATAAACAATTAGCTCATATAACATGATCCCCTAATATATGCACACAGCAATACATACACACATAAAATTTGTGGCCCAATTAAGTATGTTGTGCAAACAGGCATTGTGAGTCTTAAGTAATATACATGATTTTAGTTTTAGTTTCTTTAAAAAAAAGATTACTAAAAATTGTACATTTTAAATAGATTAAGTTTATCTTCTGTTTGTAATTTATTCTAGCAAGGCAATACTGTTTAGTTTCAACGTACAGTAGCTATGTTAGATTAGCTAGACATTTCTATAATGGATGAAATAATTATTTAGGCAGATGCTAACTTGATTGTCTTCTGACTCATTAATTAGAGAATTTAAGAACCTTAAAGCATCTTATGTATATATATATTCCTTGAATTCAGTGTTGATCCTTCAGCTGCCTGGATAAGTATTTTATTTTTTTTAGTATTCATTTGATTTGTCAATCACTTACAAGATACAGGTATAATAATAAACATAGTTTTGAATACATGAGATAGATACTTATAAGAAAAATAAAAAGAAACAATAGGACAGGGATGGTAGGCAAGATTGGTGCGCTTATGCACGCCCCCTACAGGCCTCTTAGGAAGGGGGTGAGGTCAATAGTAGACAGTCTAAGGTTAACGTTTTTGGGGTTTAGGGAAGAAACCACAGAGTCAGGTAGAGTATTCCAAACATTGATCACTCTGTTGCTGAAGTAGTATTTTCTGCAGTCAAGTTTAGTTGTTGTTGTTGTTGATGTTGTTGTTTTGCAAGATTTTCTTCAGAAGTGATTTGCCATTGTCTTCTTCCTAAGTTGAGAAAGAGTGACTGCTCTGGGTCCCCAGCTGGCTGTATGTGTGATTAGAACCCGTGGTCTCCAGGCTGATTTCTTAACAACTACACTAAATTGGCTTGTTAAATGATCTTAAGAATGTTGCTTTCATCATAGTACAATTTTTGTTGATCAAAAATACTTCAATGCTCTTTTGACTCAATCATTCTACTGTTACAATGATCATTTACAATTATTACCATAGGAAATTTTACTGGCTGCAACTTAATAGTGGGATAGATCCTGGATAAGTAAGCCAATATTTAGAATACTGAACTCCTTGCAGTTAAATTTCTATAAGTTATTTTTATTTTTAAAAGTTAAAATTATTTTATTGATAGAGACTTGTTTGGTAAGGCCTCTTTATATTTTTATTCATCTGCCAGAGTCCAGAGTAAGTGACTGAGGGCCACTGTTAAAGCGACAACTTGTTCTGGACTTAAGTGTTGATTTTTATTAATATTAGTGTGTCAACAGCCAACAGCTTTGTTCATGAAAGAGAATGTTTTATTGTTTGGATAAAAAAAGAAGTAAAGAAAGAATGAAATCGCTATAATAACTAGGGATATAATTTCTAGAAGTGTTTGTAGCTCATAATAAATATGATACATAAATCTGTTGAGAATATTAATATAGTGATTAGATAGATAGATATTATATATTAATCAGTCCATTTAAGATTAATAAATGACATAAAAATTAAGGGAACAAAGTATACAAATAGAAGAAATTAGAAAAGTGAGGCAGAAAAGACATTTTAATGTTATAGTAAAATAGGAGAAAAAAAACCCTATTCCCATTTGGCCCTTTCCTCATCTTCTGTCCTTTTAATAGGAAAGATAGAGTGAAATTTATGGTTTTCTGAACTTCTGAATTAATAGATACTCTGCTACATGACTAATAATCTCCCTCTTAAGCATTTTAATTAGCTTTTCTGTGAAATGTGCAAGTCGCTGTGGAAGGAAAAGGGTCTTCCATGGTCCTAGCCACCTGGGGTTTCTTCATTTATATGCTATGCAGTCATCTACAACACATTCCAGGAAAAACATTTATATAACACCACATCCTTTTCCCCTTCCCGCAAGAAAATGTAAATATGTTTTAGGCAAATGAAATAATGTTATCAATCACCTGATATATAAATAACAAGGTGTTTTTATAAAAAATAATCCCTGGAGAAAGTTATTAAATATATTGTCCAAAGTAACAGAATGTTGTTGATTTTATGCAACTACGTCTCAGTTTTCCTTGGCTGTAAATTCAGTTGCAGGATTAGGAATGTTGAAGAAATTGGAGATCAGAATCCTGTGCAATTAAATCTTTTGTTAATCTATATTAGTTTGATATGAATTCCATCGTGTGAATTCCATTGATGTTTATCAGCCTTTTGAAAGTGAGCATTGTAATACTGGAAGACAATAAAACAGAGAACTTAAATTGCACTTCCAAACCCCAAATTAGTTCTGGGTGCAATTCAGTGTGCTAGTTATCTACTCTAAAGGCATAGTGCCGGTTATTTGAGGGACCTACTATCACCCCTGGTTTATGCCCATCCGGTAAAACTGAATGAGTCAATATGCTTTAGGTCTCTTAATAGTTGCTTCTAGTGGCACTTGGGAAATATGCCTACTCTGTAGCAGTGCCTTTCTTCTGGAAGAGTATTCCTCTTCCCAAGGTACATGCAAACCCTGATGATATTATGTAAATTTTCATAAAGTTTGCTATTTTTCATACAATGGGTAAATCTGGAGTTCTGTCAGCTGTGTGTGTGGCAGAGGCTGGAGTATTATATGAATGTTGGTGTCACTTCAGTTTTTCTCTTTCTTGTTTTTCTGTTTTTAATACTAAGTCACTCAGTTATTCTGGGCAGCCTTAAAATCTAACCAAGCAAATGAATAACAGTATCCCTGCAACTCCTTGCAGAATTTTTTTAAATGGTATAGAAGAATTGTTGAATACGTAGGGATAAATCATGTTAGCTCTGTTTAATTAATGAAATTAAAATTGTAATAAAATTAAACACAGTCCAGTTTTGTCCTGGTCTTAATAATTTCTTTGATTGGGCTCCACCTACTTTTGGGAATGTGGCCTTCGACATGCCACTCACAAGTACAGTGTAGTCCTAAACACAAAAACGCAATTACATTCTTGCTGTACAAATCTTTGTAAAGTTTCTTTATTTTAAACAACAGTAGCACTATGAAAGAGTTTGTGTGTCCTTGGAGAATGCTCCCCTTTAGAAGATTTGTATGAAATAGTGTCAATAGCAGGACAAGGCTAGATATTTACTGCTGCCATCAAAATTAAAAATATTTAAGTTTTTTTTTTAATTAAAGCAGAGGCATTAAAAAGAGAGAAAAACTATATTTAGTCACAAAAACTGGGATTAAAACAGATTGTGATTTTTTTTCAGTAGTAGATGCAGGAAAAAAAGCAGTATTTCTTGCTCAATAGCCATTTATTTTGGTCTGCCAGTTATTTATCAATAAACTCTGTTCTGCCTCTGAAGATGGTGAAGTGTAGAAATACAGTTGAGGGTAAGGAGGCATCGCAAAGTCTTAATGATTCAAAGGCACTTTGGGTCCATACTTTGAGCCAATCTTCCGTGTAATGGTTCTAACATCATGTTTTGAACAATGCTGTTCATTTCTTCTTTAAAAACCACTGTGGTTAAATGTCTCCCCATCCACCTTTTGGGCAACTTACTTTCTCACTTAGCTGCTATTTTTCCTCATATCCATTCTTGAATGACTATCTTGGCACTTAAATCTATTCTCATTTCTTTGTGATTCATGACCAGTGGGGATTGTTTTGTTTTGTTTTGTGCTTGCCAAAAAATTCTTCTCTGTTCTTTTTTTTTCCTTTTCTTTTTACTATGCTTCAATCTGATGGAAAATAAATCACTTTTGATTCTTTTTTCCCCTAAAGCAAAGAAGAAGTTGTGGTGGGATTCTCATGAATGGGGTGTGGTGTTCTTTTGCTTACCTTAATTATAGAAAAGCCAAGGGTTGTGTCATGCCTTCCCTTGTATCATCATCTTTCCAGTGATTAGCAGTTTCCATGGTTTCATATTATTTAAATACAGGTAACTCCTAAGGAAAACTTCCTTTGGGCTCTTTCAGAGTAAAAAGTTTGAAGAGCCAAAGTAGTCATAATGCAATGAAAACAAAAATGTGATGCAAAATAATTCTCTATCATTTCAAAACACAGTCAACTCAAAATATTTCCCAGGGAATTTGAAAGAAATTCAGAAGTATCCTACTAGCAAATAATTGTATGGGAATTTGTGTCCCTGCTAAATTAAATTCTACCTGACTAATTCACAAAATTAAAGAGAAATCAAAGGTCAAGTTTTGGGATTTTGTACTCTGTGCTGTATTATAAAATATAATCATCTTTTTGCAAAACAAAGATTCTGTTAAACCCAAATATAATTTTAAAAGGTACTGATGTTGGGCTCGCACACACACACACACACACAGAGAGAGAGAGAGAGAGAGAGAGAGAGAGAGAGTGAGAGAGAGAGAGAGAGACATCAGATCCATAGGTAGTCCATCAGTAAATGTTGGGAGGGTTTTGTCTTTTTCCCTTTCTTGCTGTCTTGTTCTGGATCACCGTCCTCTCACCCCTGTGAAATCATTTACTGCATGGATTATGTCACATTTACTGTAGCCTTCATGAAGGGTTGAATGGAGGAGGGTAAAAAGAAAAAAAAGATACGGGCATTTATTTCTGTCATACAAAGTGCTATGTTATTTTAACATGACATCAGTCCATTTATTTAAGAGAGAAAGGGAAAAAAATCATGTTTTTGCTGTCTAGTATCCTATTAAATATCAGTGTCACATTCCTATATGATGCAATTATTACTGCCCATGATTAATCCTATTCAATGTTATTTTGGATTTCCTTTCTTTCCCCTCCCCTGTATGTTATCAGTGGAATATTATAGAGCTCTGCTGCTCTCTTTCAGCGGATTCGAGGTCGAAAAGCCAGTTTGGAAGAAATACAGCTGGTTCACTCCGAACATCATTCACTGCTCTATGGCACCAGTCCCCTGAACAGACAGAAGCTGGACCCCAGGAAAATCCTAGGTCTGTAAAGGGCTCTATTCTACTGAGAACAGCACATTCCAGCCTCATCATTAGTCATAGCTGGTGTCAGTTTAAAATACTTGGCAAGCGATGTAACACCCGCCCCCCACCCCCCAATCCAAAACAAAACACTTTTTCCAGATGAAATTCATTGTGGAAGGAGAATGTTGCAGAGAGAGCCAGTATAGATTAGGGAAAGGCACTGGCTCAAAATCAGCCATAGAGATCTAATTCTGCTTTTATGATCATCTGGTTATTAACCTTTGGGGTATAAAGAATTATATTTTGGTGAGTAAGTCAGAAAAGGAATGGACTCATGACCCATATCCTTAAGGGATAGTTTTCAGCCTCTTTTACTTGAACAGTCCTAGAAGGCAGAACAACTTCAAGGGGTAAGACAGATATTTTAAAATCATGAGTACCATCTGGATCCCACTACACATAGCAATGGATCTTGAGTCCCTGCTGTGTTGTACAGACACTGTTTTGAAATATGAATTTATATGAATCAACATCTTTCACTGGCTGAAGCAGGGTTCAGATGGTTCCTTCACCTATGTAGGGATCAGCATTTGGAAAAGCCTTGCTGAATCATTCAGATGGTAACAGTTGTGATAATGAATGCCCATCCCTTTTGACAAGGGTGCTTCAATAATTCAGTGGGATTTAGCCCCTGATAAATATGCTTTGGAGAAAGGACCCATTCCTGTCTTTGTTTCCTTCTTATGAGGTTTTGCTAGAATCAGGACATTTCACAATGTGCTTGATAGGGCCGGTCCTAGATTTTTGTCCAATATGCATGGATTGTCTTTATGGGGAAAATGGAAAACATTTTCTCTAAGACCTTTACATGGTGGAATAAAGATACATGGTGTATTGAATTGGAACATTTTTCATAATAATGCAATCCTGCAAAGACTGCCATGACTTGAAGATATATTAATCTACTGAGGTATACAAACAATTGGAAAATAATAGACTGTTTATTTATTGATCTTTTCAGGAAAATTGCTGAATTTGAATATATATTTCACAGCTTTGTCTGAAGCGTATATTTATAATCATATTCTATTCTTGAGATTGTGGGGCCAACAAAAGATACAAGAAAGCAGATAGAGCAGAAGGTATCACAAAGTCTGGTGTCTTACTGGGTCTGCAGTAATAGGTGATCTAATGTGGGTGCACATAATGTGTAATAAAATCATAATCAATTTTTCTCCCCCAGAAATTCTGCCAAAAGCTGTGGTTGTTTATAGCACACATTCTCTTCAAAATGTTGAGATTTTGATTCAGCCTTTGTTATTGCAGGGAGAGAAAAAATGAATTTCTGTTAAAAATTCATGCTAAGGTTAAGTTACATTTATGAAATTATACAGGAATCCATTTTATATTTCTTCCTTGCCTCTTCTGCAAGTACAGGGTCTGTTTTTTTCAGCTCACCCAAATTGCAATCCATTGGTTGCAACTGGATTGACTGATCGGTTTGTCATCTGAACCTGAAGTCTAAGACATGAAACTCATTCTCCTGTTTTCTAGCCTGGCGCTTTAACCTCTACGACAAACTGGTTCTCACAATCCATTTATTATGGCTTTTTAAAATTATAAATGGGAAGGAAAACTACTCTTCCTTCTTCTCCTCCTATTTCCACAATCACATGCTGTATTTATAGAACATTAAGTATGTATAAAGCATTAAGGGGAAAAATAATTGTAATTTTGGTGAATGTATAATAATATATTTCAGAAAGAAAAGTCTGGCCATAAATAGATGCTACCTAGTCCAAAAGATAAAGAGAAAATATCTGGATCCAAACCCAAAATAAATTAATTTTTATGCAGGAGGCCTAGATAATTAACATCTAGAGTTAAGATCTGTAGCCTGAATCTTAGAACAATACAATAATAACAACAACAATGAGTGAGAATTTGTCTTATGAACAATGAAAACCAGGAATGAATCTAATGAGGGCACAAGACAGCTCATGTTAGTGTAACTCTTTCATTAAAAAAAATTGGCCAACTATCTTATGCTCTCTTCCTAATAGGAAACCATCCAACTTTTTCACAGGGACTTGTGATTGTGTTTGAGTTTGACACTACATTGTAATGCTGACAACTTTGTTGTCTAAAAGGTAGAGGGTGAAACTAGAGGGACAGCCATATTGGACATAATTCTTACAAACAGAGAAGAAATGATAGAGGGATTTGAAACTGCAGGAACCTTGGGTGAGAGTGACCATGTCATACTAGAATTCAACATAACACAAACACAAGCAACAGAACATAATGACACCAGAGTCTTGGATTTTAAAAGATCTGATTTTAATAAACTCAGAGAGAACTTGGGAAAGATTCCATGGATGAAAATCCTAAAGGGGAAAACAACTCAAGAATCTTGGGAAACTCTATGATCATAGAAGCCCAGACCAGTACAATACTACTGAGAAAGAAAAACAAGAAATCCAAGAAGAAACCAGCATGGCTTCACAAAGATTTATCTGGCAAATTGGAAGAAAAAAAGGACAAGTATAAAAAATGGAAAGAAGGACATACAGCTAAGGCAGAACATCAGCAGATAGCCAGAATCTGCAAAGACGAAGTCAGGCTAGCAAAGGCTCAGAACAAACAAAGACTTGCAACAAAAGTCAAAGATAATAAAAAAAGTTTCTTCCAACATATAAATTACAAGAAAAAAAATCAAGAAAACAGTCGATCCACTAAAAAGAGAAGACAGCAAGGAAGTAACAGGCAACAGAGAAAGCAGAACTGCTTAACTCATTCTTTGCATCCGTCTTCACGCAAAAAGAAACTATAGCTCAACCCACCAAAAACATAACTGTAAAAGACAGACCAGAAATAAATGTTAAAATAAGCAAAAAAAAAAAATAGTAAGAGAACACCTGTCTGATCTTGATGAAAACAAATCACCGGGGCCTGATGGATTATATCCCAGAGTATTAAAGGAGCCGGCAGAGGTCATCTCAGAACCACTGCACCATATCTTTCAAAAATCCTGGAGCACCGGGGAACTTCTAGAGGTCTGGAAAAGAGCTGATGTGGTTCCCACCTTCAAAAAAGGAAAAAAAAAACAGACCCAGGAAACTATAGACCGATCAGCCTAACATCAATACCCGGGAAAATACTGGAAAAGATAATAAAAAATCAAATCTGCCAACATCTAGAAACAAATAAAGTAATAACTAGCAGTCAGCTGTTTGTTAAGAACAGATCATGCCAAACCAATCTTATTTCATTCTTCAACATAGTGACTAAATTAGTAGACCAGCAAAATACTGTGGACATAATATATTTAGATTTCAGCAAGGCATTCGACAAAGTAGACCACAACCTACTTCTTAGTAAGCTAGAAAAAAGTGGAATAGATAGCACCACCACTAGATGGACTCACAACTGGCTGGCAAACCGTACTCAACGAGTAGTCCTTAATGGGTCTAAGTCTACATGGAGGGAAGTAAGCAGTGGGGTGCCACAAGGTTCTGTCTTAGGCCCAGCACTCTTCAATATCTTCATTAACGACTTAGATGAGAGAATAGAAGGGGAACTTACCAAATTTGCGGATGATACTAAGCTGGCAGGAATAGCTAACACCCAAGAAGATAGGCTCAAGATCCAGATGGATCTTGACAGATCAGAACACTGAGCCGTTTCTAACAAAATGAAATTCAATATAGAGAAAAGTAAAGTCCTACCTTAGGCAAGAAAAGCCAAAAGTACACATATAGACTGGGTGAAACCACGCTCAATAGCAGTAACTGTGAGAGGGATCTTGGAGTCTTAGTGGAAAACCAATGAGCCAGCAGTGTGCAGCAGCAGCCAAAAAAGCTAATGCAATCCTAAATTGTATTAACAGAGGGATACAATCAAGATCAAGGGAAGTACTAATACCACTTTATAAAGCCTAAGTAAGACCACACCTAGAGTACTGCATCCAGTTTTGGTCACCACATTATCACAAAGATGTTGAGACTCTAGAAAAAGTACAGAGAAGAGTAACCAGGATGATTAGGGGACTGGAGGTTAAAACATACAACGAATGATTGCAGGAACTGGGCTTGGCTAGTCTAGTAAAGAGAAGGACCAAGGGAGACATGATAGTGGTCTTTCAATATTTGAGGGGCTGCGACAGGAAGGAAGGGGTCAAGCTATTTTCTAAAGCACCTGTAGGCCAGACAAGGAATAATGGATGGAAATTGAACAAGGAGAGATTTAACCTGGAAATAAGGAGAAACTTTCTGACAGTGAGAACAATCAACCAATGGAACAGCTTGCCCTCGAAAATTGTGGGAGCACCATCACTTGAGACTTTCAAGAAGAGATTGGACTGCCATTTGTCAGAAATGGTGTAGGGTCTCCTGCTTGGGCAGGGGGATCGACCAGATGACCTACAAGGTCCCTTCCAATTCTGATTATCTGTTATCTGTAATGGATTTGAGAGATTTGCTTTTCTTGGATGCTGCAGGAATTTGAATCAGGAAGCACATGCTTGCTGTAGATGTTTCCTAGGCAATCACAATTGTACTTGAACATAGAGGCCAGATTTTATGTTTTTGTATGTGTGATGCTTATGCAATTGTGAGTGGCATATGCATGTGTCTATGTTTTAAGAAAGCTTTTGTAAAACATATACAGGACTTTATTTTGCACTAGCAGTTAAAACTTCCTCTTAATGCTACAAGACAGGAACAGTGTCATAATTCCAAATTATTATTTTGTGCAAGGGACTGGTAATCCTAATCTTATACTGTAACTAGAAAAAAAGAGGGGGAAGCTTTATAATAAAAGAAAAAGTGAAACAAAAAATCAACAATTTCATATTCCAATCAACCAACCACTCATATTCCAAAACCAAAATGCAATAATGCGACAACAGAATACAGAACCAATATCCTTATAAAGTTGGTTTAGTTTAACTAAACAATAGATGTTTCTTTTCCTGAACAAAGGTAGCAAAGTTAGTAAGTGATGGAAGAAACTTCAATTTTCACTACTCTGAAAAAATTTACCATTTTGACTATTTATGCATTCATTGCTACATATTAGTATAATGTGTGTCACATTTAAATCATCTAAGATTGATGATTTACAAATACAGATCATTCTTTTAACAATTGACAATACATACCATTCTTTTAGTAAGGGAAATTCAGAACATTTGCTCAGTTCTTACTTTCCATTCTTTTTCTTTTTGCTCCTTTTGCTAGTATAATATTCTAAAAATCAGCATCCCTAAAGATAGCAAAATGTATACATGCTAGAATTATGTGTCAACCCCTCTCATCCTATTAGCTCAGGCTTCATGCTAAATAAAATTGACATACTCAGAATCTGCACAATATGTGTGATTATATCATAACTTTAAGGCCTCCTTAACTTTTTATTCTTACTCGAATAACTCTGAAGTTTTGGTAATGAAAACCACTAGAAGAACTCCAAACTCTTCTGGTTTCTATTAGGTTTCAGGCAAGGACACTCTCAGATACAAATACTAGTATGCAGAGGTATCATCAGAACGGCTGAGCTTTTAAATACTGCATTTTCCAAAGCCAACCACAGAAATAACTAGATAATCAGAGTTTATGCAAGATTGGGTTTTCCTGAACTAAGGTAAAATAACTGGGATTTTCATGTACTATTTGTTTTGCAACTTTTCTAAATATTTTTCTTTTTGATTGGTATAATCAAAACATATTTGTAAACCCATCACCTTGCCGCCTCCCGTCCTTGTAATGATTCCAGGGCAAGATGGGGAAGCCAAGGTTCAGATATTGAATATTGCAGTGTTTTTCAAATTTGGCAACTTTGACATGTTATTGGGAAATGCTGGGAGCTGAAATCCACACATCTTAAACTTCCAAAGTTTGACATTTAGTCTCCATCACCTAAAATGCTCTGGACTTTTATCATAATTGCTAAAAATCAGTAGCATAATTTTCTGCATTTTGAATTGGGAAAGACAACAGATGTAGTGTAAATTTGCTTCTAAAGGTTGTCTAGACTCTGGCCACCACAACAATAACCTTCGTGGACTCATTAGGTTATTTCATTCTCCCAAATGAATTATCATAACAAAAAAATCCATGCATTCAACAGTATTAATATAAAGCATCCTCAAATTAATAATTATAATAACATTTAAAAATTAAATAGGCATAACTCAAAGGCTAGGCAGATAATCTAGAAATACTGACTTTGTTTTACAAAAATCTTCTTCCTTCCCATCAAATGCAAACCTTAAAAAAATACACAAACCATATAAAGCAAACTATATATACTAGTTTGGTATACTAAACTCACACTGATTAATCAGAGCAATAACTGATTGTGGCAGCAACAGGACACCTTGAGTTCATATGTGCATATGTTCTGTGTTCTGCATGAGATTTGCATCTCTTGTAAAAAAAAATCATTGTAATTAACTCTTATTCATCGTTCTGTGAACTGCTCAATATGCATGAAGCATTCTGTTTTTGTACCTGTACTAATCTCAACTGAAGATCATATGAAGTGTTTTGTATTATTTAAAAGAACTGTTTATCAGGATAGAGTTCAAAGTTTATAATTTCAGATATTATATAAATAAATAATATAAATTCCATCAAGTTCTTGGAGTAAAAAGTAAGTTTTCTAACTACCATGGAATTTCGGAAGTAGCAATAATAAGGCAAAATAAAGTTATTAATATATGCTCCAGTTCAATAAACTGTCATGAGCATTGATTTGAAAATTCTGAAGAAGGGTTAGAAACAGTTTCCTGAGAACTGAGTTGATCAAAAATAATGACATGAAAAACTTGGTTTATCCCACAAATAAATGTATCTACTATTTTAAATAAGGGGCCATCCCTAATGAGATTGTATGGATAAAACAATCAAAAGTACCAGTATATCTCAGAAAATAAATTAGTGATATAAATGGAGACATAGAATTATTCAGCAATTATATGGAAAGGGTATTAATGAAATGACATTAGGAATGTGAGAATTATTAAACATAATTTATTATTCACATATAAATCCTATGATTTCCCCACCCCAACTCCCTACTACATTTAGAGAGTTTGGCCCTTAATCTAAATTAGCATTGATGGATTCCTGGAATTACTAGGAATATATATTTTTTTCTTCAGTGAAGGGATGATTTGTGCAAAACTATGAGGGTTAAGATGCATACAGTTCAAAAATGTCTGCTTTATCCATTCCAAGAATAATTTGGGGGTACAAAAACACATTTGTTTCATATGTTATACTTGAAAACTATCTATAATCTTCAGGAAGGTATGTTACATGGTTGGATTTGACCCAAAAGGTTTGCTTGTGGTTTGCTGATCATATCTGTGCTATACCTAGTCAAACCAGAAAAAAGAGCTTTGGGTCATAATGGTAAATAATGGTAAATTAAAATACTGATTTGGTATGTGGTAGCTGCAAAAAGGGTAAATTCAATGCCAAAAATCATTAGAAAAGAGACTGGAAATAAAATTGCTCACAATGTAATAGTTTGAAATGAATCAATGGATACACCTGACATATATGCACAGTTTTAATTGCCATGTTTGGAAAAAGATAGAAAAGATCAGAAAAATGTAGAAGAGAGGTTTGTAATACTTGGTTTGTAACCAGAATGATCCAAATGCTTGAATACCTACTGTATTGGGGGGAGCAGGGAGGAAAGAGCTACAACTGTTGGGATTCTGGAAAAAAAAAAAAGCAAGTGAAGGTCAAAAGAATTGCAGTCAAGTCATCTGCTTGTACTGAACTACAACTCCATTATTACTAGCAAACGTGGATCTTTGTGGGATTAAAGCCCAATCTATCTGGAGGGGACAAGGTCAGTGACATTTATTCTGGAGGCTTTGTACATTGCTTATCCAGTGTCCCAAAATTATCCTAGCTTAATTTAATTTCTTTGGGAAATGTTTAAGAAATGTTATTACTACTTGGTTAATTACTAAACATATTTAACAGTACATTTTGAAAAAAAATGTATATTTTTACATTCATGTTTATTTCTTATTTTTAATACAGGCAGTGCCCCTCACAAATCTTTTTCATTGCTGCCCTGTGGAGGTCTTGGTGTAAGTAGCTTTTGCTTCTGTTTTCTAGTTAAGTGTGTGTGTGTGTGTGTGTGTGTGTGTGTGTGTGTGTGTGTGTGTGTAACGATTGAACATATAACACACACATATGGGTATGTATATATTTAATGATTGAACATAACTAAAGATGAGCATTAGTAATATAACCATATGTGTAACCCTTCAGAGATTAGTTCCTAGGTAAATGCACTTTGCAAACAAGAAAATAAAATAAAAACCACATGAATCATATGGGCTCTGAGGATGGATGTAAACGAAGGAAATAGACTGTGTCAAAAATCAATTCTGAATAACATTATCAATACTATATAAATAATGGTATAAAAATCCAGTGCCAACAGCAAAATATATATGAGATAAGTCTTACCTATATAGCAAATTTCTTTTAAGAAATTGTTGCTTTGTAGTTGTTTATTTATTGGAAATAAATAAATAAGGGAAATGTTTTATGTAATATCAGCTTCTATGTTGAGAGGTCTGTGACTTTGGAATCATTTATAACTTGGAAGTGAATCTGCCCTCAAATTCCTTGGATACACCTCAAAAAAATTGATAACTGTCTACCTCTTTTATGGCTCAGAGGAGGCAACACGAATCACATCAATATTGGCAGCCAATATGAATTTTGACATGCTGTAAAAAGCATAAAAGGGCTTAAGGCATTTGTTTAGTTGAGGAATGGGCTCTCCAGCTGTGTCAGAGCTAAGTTTGGGGTTTGGTCCTGGGTACCTGAGGGACCATGCTGCAGACAAAAGAGAATTCCACATTTATCTTATAAAATAAGGCAGCTGTCCAATTTAAAGTTTGCTAAAAAAAAATAAAGGAAGAAAAACAAGCAGGAACAGAAAGGTCAATGCACAGTGTCAGGTCTTTAAAATTGAATGAGGCTGTGTTGGGCAAAAGTGAATGTAACACCTTGTAAGAATCCAGGTATGTTATATAGAATTGTTAAATTAGTATTAACTTTGTTTCCTTTGGTTGGTTTGGTTATTCTTGGCACAAAGAAAGATGATATTGGAATACCTGTATATAACTCTGAAAAGTGTATTGCTCAAAGGCAGAATTAATTACATGTAATTAACATTAACCAAGTAGGATACCTATGAATGTAATGGATGCCAGCAATAGTTATTGTATATTTTCAACACACCTTAAGAAGATTTTTGCCATTTCTAAAGAAAAGGAGATAACAATAATAACTCTGTATTTTTATATGCTTCCTTTTATAATTTTTGCCTTTTTAATTTTATTGCACATTTTTTCCACTGGCTTTTATAGCTTTTCTTACACAAATGGGTCCAAAAGCCATTCCTGAACCTGAACGGACTTTAATCTTCCAACGATGGGTATCCTAAATTGGCTGCACATACTTTGCACATCAGCCTTCAGAAACCATGATTACTTTAACTTTAATAATCTGATACACTGTAAAAAATATACGTTAGGCTAGAAATTATAATTATTCCTCTTTTTGCTGTTCTTCCAGTCATATGATTTTGCTATAACAAAAAAGATGGAGTATTCATCTTTCATCAGTCTAATAGTTAGCAGATATTGTGGCACAAATATTGTTTCCAAATAAGTGAAGAAAGTTTAAACCTCTCCAAGGCAATTAAAAAGTTTTGCATTCTAAGTAAGGGATTCTGCCAGGACAGTGAAGTTAATATTGCTGTAAATCTGACTCTTTGGTTTGTAAGAATCTTCCTAATCCCAGAATCTTCTGAAACATTTTGAAAAGTATCGGTAACCTTTCAGACTCAGACAACGGGTTTGGTGTCCTCCCATTTTTCTTATTTGATTATAACCATAATCCCACAGCCGGCATGAAAAGTGTGTGTGTGTGTCTGTCTGTCTGTCTGTCTCCCTGTCTATCTGTCTGTCTCTCCATCTAACTGTATCTAATCTATCTATTACTAAAACATTCATCTCATAACCTTTTAAGACAACAATTTTTGAACCATCTCAAATGGACTGTGTCCAAAATCTGGGACCTTCACTCCCAGTGGAATTCAAATTTGGCAAACTTTATAAAATATTTTATCATCTAAAATTATCATAAAACAGTTTATGAAATAATACAAGATGTCATAAAACATTTTCTGTGCTGATGTCTGTTTTCAGGGCAAATATATCTCTGAATGTATCTCACCTTTTCTAATGAAGGCCGTATTTTAAAGTTCTGTTGTTGAAGGCAATGAGGAATTTGAAAGGAAATATCTCTGAGAAGAGGCCATCTAGTGTTGATTAAGGACAATGGGCACTGAAGAATGACATATCTGCAAAAGACTAATATTAAAACATCAATTTGGACCTTTACCCAAGCCACTCTACTACCTCATTGCTGTATTCTTGAGGCATACAAGAGAGAAAAAGATTACTTTCAGAACATATTACATGAACCTTTTTATTTCTATAGGGAAAAACAGAAAATTTTTGCATGCTGTAGGTAAAAATCCAGTAGCTTCCCCAAAGAATAAATACAAATTAATTTTTATTTAAGCCATCATCTCTTTAAATAACTCCACATACACTTCAGAGACAGGTAGTTTAATTTCTATCATCTGTGACTTTATTAAGGTCTAGTTTTGCTACACATGTCAGTGATTGAGTTATGCTGGAAGTATTTGCAAAAACTTGCAAGTGCTATGTTCATTCAGGAAACTCTGAATGAAGTAAATCCATGTGTGCCTTAAAAGTCTTAGACTTCTGAGTGGGATTGCATATTCTGGCTTGCAACATTGTCATGAATGATTCTGATTTTTTAAAGTGTTACTGAAACCTGAACAAGCTTGATGTCTTAATTTTCTTTTCAAAACTTTCTGCTTTTAAAAAGCCTGTTGATGTTAATTATTTCATGGCTATTTATAGTTTATATTATCTATAGCATCAAGCCACCATGTATATGTAATACTGATGAAGCTTTAAAAACCTCTCAGAAATAGAACAGGGTTGATGTCAACAGGTACATTTTAGACAGTTAAGGATGGCCAACAATTACTATTGTTATTGCTTGAGGGATATGTGACACTGGAATTTCTTACAAAGTACAGACTTTATCAAGCCAGTGAAAAGTTTATATTAAAACAAGCTTTCCTGAATCTGAGGCCCCTGCACCCAATCACTCAAGCACTGGCCATCTCACGTGGTTATATTTGAAGAGTATTCAGAAACCACAATTGGTGCAGAATGCAATGGGTGGGCAGTTCTTGTGGTCCCTGGAGTGGCCTATGTTATTCTACTGGTCCATGAGCTGCTCTGTCTGCCAGTTTGTTTCTGGATGCAATTCCAGGTGTTGGTTATTACCTTTAAAACCCTGCATGGAATGGGTCCCTTGCATCTCACCACAATGGGCCTAGCCTACCCCACTGTGTTGGCAGAGGGGGCATCCTGTTGGCCCTATCAGTCAATGAAGTTCAGCTGGCAGGGTCCAGAAGAAAAGCCTTCTATGCCCTGGCTTGGGCCTTTTGGAACTTTTATCCCTGAGGTGAGATTGGCTCCCACCCTTCTGACCTACCACAATGACCTGAAGACTTGACTCTGCCAATTGGCTTGGGCCCAAACAGGAGAGTATCAGGCTGGAGGGAGTGATTGATGGATTAAGAGGAAATCCCATTTCCACCATCATCAACCTTCTTCTTCACTCATCTTTAATTGCAATCTTACTTTTGATTGTAATTTTATTTTTATTGGTTTTTAGAAATATTTATCTTTTATGGTTTGTATTGTTTTTAATGCTGTAAGTAAGCCATCCCAAGTCACTTCAACGGGTGGCAAACAAATTTAACAGTAATTAATAAATAAGGCCAAGATTCCTGTTGCCTTCTGAGCTCTTGATCCTAGCTGCATCAGAAGATGCTTTGTATCAAAGATACAGGACATTATTATTCCTCTCCGTTCTTCAGAGGTAAGACTACACCTAGAGTATCAGGTATGATTCGGGGTTGAAGATATTGACAGAGAAAGTTCAAAGGAAGGCCACAAAGATGATGAAGAAATTTGAGGACATTTAACATGAAGGTTTCATCAAAAGCTAATAACATCCTTATGGGGCAATCAGTGATTTCTAATCAAGCCACAGAAATTTTTTCTCAATATTTCATCAGGAAGAGAAAGGGTTAAATCTTGTCCGACAGCAAACCAAAACATTATAATTATCATCTATTTGTTGTTCTATTTGCACTTTTAAAAATGCATTTAACCTCATATCCAGTTTCGCTCCAATTGTTCTGATAAGTGCAACTTTTTAAGTCTAGCAACATGCAGTTTAAAAGAACACTCGCAGTATGATGACAGTCTTCTTCACATGCCCTACAGTCTTCTCAAACACCTTGTAGAAATATATACCATGTAAGGTCCCTTCCAACTCTTTTATTTTGTTATCCAACAATAACAGCTGTGTGGTAACAGCTGTGTAGTACTGTGTATGTAGGTAGATTTGGTTGAGAGTAGGGAAGGTTAAAAAAAGTTGACCATGTTGTTGAAGCCATTTCCTTTATTTCTACGTGTTCTGAGTGTGATACACATTTAAAAGAATGGGACTTCAGTGATATGGTTGCAGCCACTCTTTTGATAGTTTGGGTTTCTCTTTGATATTTAGAATGGCGATTTACTTGATGATTTTAGTGACTGAATCTTAGTCATCCTGTTGTAGTCTAGCTTCTTAAGCACTAAACTATAATAACCTTCAAATCATTACAAGGAGGCCATGATATAGACATGTCCACACATGAATGTCCTGCCTTTCATTGTATCATAATTTTATCAATGATTTGCAGCATTCCTATCTTCTCATGCTTTTATTTAAAAAAAACCCACAACAACACTATTATGAGCCTTTTTCAGATTACTGAATATACTCCAGGTATCTGGGGAAGCTTCAAAATGGTTGAACAAGACAAGTAATAGAAAACAGCAATGCCAACAAGATCCTCCATCATTTCTGCCAGTAAAGCAAGCTCAAAAACAGCATAAAGAATAATGCA